CAAACTTTTATAAAGCAGCAAATAAAGTGTCCGATAGAAGTAGGCAAAAGGGGCTGCAATATACGTTCGAAGGCTATATTAACGACAAACAGGTGAAACGCAAGGAACAACAAGGCATCCAAATAGAGGCAAAAGCATACCGGTCACAGTCAAAAAATGAACCACCGCATATCCTACTAATCGAGACGGAGGCTGGGACTAACAATATCAAGGAGCAACACTGTTCATGCAAAGCTGGGTAGGTCTCTATTCACTTCTATAATCGTTATTACAAAACAACGGACTACGCGAGTATAACGTTGTATTTATTAGCACCGTGTGCTAGCTAGACGACACTTGTCAGGATTTGACTTCCTGAAAAAATGGACACCCCCCTCCAACCTCTCTGGGAAACGCGTATCTGTGTTACAAATGCCCCAGGCACAACGTTTAACCATATTTTTGATAAAACTACGACGGCAATAGCCTGCCGAGACCAAAAATATGAGACGCCTGTGTTAAAGTCAATGGAGCGCTGTGAAAAAGTGTCGGACCACTGTGGGAGCTCGTTCTTGGCTGCGTTGTGATTGGTCAATCTACATTCTAGGGTGTGGCTTAGCCAAAGGCGAATTGCAAACAACTGTAGGCTGCACGCACCGCCAGACTTTTAAAAATGGTAGTTGAAATAAAATACTGCGTGAATCAACCAAGTCCCACCCCCGAAAGTTCCTGAACTTTGAAAAAGTGCTAGGCCTACCTCGCGAGCACGGACTTTCTAAGGGGGAAATTATTACCCGGAACCTCATTTAGACCATCACTGCAGTCAAAACAATTGCGGTGAAAACGCTGTTATTCACCAACTAGAAACACACATCCAAAATGAATAAAAAGCTTGAATATTCGATCTCTACATGTGCAGGAATTAAACGCCCCTTTCCACTGATTGGTCAACCAAACATCAAGCATCTGGGCTGCGTTCAGCGCCGACAAAACGTTGCAGAACGTTTTTTAAACAGAAACGGTGATGCGTTGAACGCACTGTTGTGATGATGCAAGAGTTGCAACTACAGCAGCTGAGAAGGCTTTTTGTGTTCTTTGTGAAGAATTTTCGGAGCCTGATGAAATCGGTATAAATATGTTTAATACTACAAAATATGCCCGATGTTACAGTTACTGCACTTGCCGCCCAGAACACAAGAGAACATCCCAATCGAGTGAAGGGATTTGTGGAAACTGAAATGGAAGCACATCTTACCTAATAAAGACTAAAACATCTATTTAGCCTCACATTCTTGTTGTTCTATAATGTTTTATTAATACCCTGTATTTTCTTTCTCATTTTTAGGAAAAGCACTTTACATGCATTGTTTATTTCTATACCAAATGTCACACACTTGCAATGAAGCTAAAAATATAAACAACTACATCATTATGTTGATATCCTATATTTTTACAATAATACTTACAACAAACATGTCTTCTGATATCCTTGTTGCGTATCGAACACATTTGTAAATTACTTCCATTGTGCGAGTTCTCTTTAATACCGTGTGCTTTATATACATGTTGCTGCTGATTGGACTGCAGTTCTGACACGCCCACCAAACAAGAGAAAACGCATCTCAAACCCCGTTGCACACACAGTAAAAGAAATGGACACAGCGACCCCGTTGATTTCAACGGAGAGAGTTGAAGCCTAACATGGGCACTCACCATAGACAGTATAAGAAGTGGACAGAGCCATCTCATTGGAACTCAGTTGAGACAGTTGAAGCCCATTTTTAGCGATTTTTGAGCACTTCCGTTCCTGACGCGCAGACTCAAACCGACTCAAACTAAGCTTGATGACGTGAGCAACCTGTCTGACAGACGTTAATCTTCTAGTAGCTGTGCGTGAAAATTGCCAACGTTAATCTTGCAGAGACGGGGAACTTGAGCAAAGAGTTCTTTGGCGTGAGTGAGCAGGAGTAAGTATTCCGTTGCTTTTATGGACTCATTATCTATGGGCTTCTCCCTTGACGGGACGTCCCCCCGATTGCCTGCGAGCTTCTCCTGCTGTCTGTACGGTAATTTCTGTACAGCGCGACAGAGAGTCGAGTGGTTATGACGCAATCGTTAGCCTATTTTTACTAAATCTGTTTCTACGGGGCCATAATGTAACATAGAAGTTAATGGAGCCCTTTATACATTGTCGTGTTTCTTTAGAAATAAATAATGGACAAATGGAGTCTTTAAACGCCTCAGATGTAAAGTTATTCGCTGTCAAAGTGACGCCAAAATGAATGGGAGTCAATGGAAATGCTAACGCAAGTGAAGTTCTGCTACAACATGGCGGCACCCGGCCGGCTTCAACTTCCGGTCGATGGATTACCCCCTTGGCACTCACTTCCTGATAGCCAAGCGCACTGCGCAGGCTCAAACTGAGCTTGACGAGTAGTTGTCACGTGAGCAACCGTTCTGACCTTCTAGTAGCTGTGCCGGAACAAATCTGAATTGAAATCTGAAACAAATCTGTTGTTGAAATATTTTGTCCCGTTGCTTTTATTAACTCTCTATCTATGGGCTTCTCCCTTGACTTTATGCCTCCATGTCCACCCGATTGCCTCATAGACAGTAAACGATTGCCTACGAGCTTCTACTTCTGTCTATACGGTAATTTCTCTACTGTGCGACAGAGCGTCCCGTGGTTATGACGCAATCGTTAGCCTATTTTTACAAGAATAGCTTCAACGGGGGCATAACGTAAGATACAAAGTAATGGAGCCTTTTATACATTGTCGTGTTTCTTTAAAAATAAATAATGGACAAATGGAGTCTTTGGACGCCTCAGATGTAAAGTTATTCGCTGTCAAAGTGACGCCAAAATGAATGGGAGTCAATGGGATGCTAACAGCAGGTGATAGCCAGCTACAATGGCGGCCCCCGGAGGCAGCTTCAACTTCCGGCTGATGGATTACCCCCTTGGTTGCACACCGGTGCAAGCCGTTTCCAGGAAACATGACGTTCAACCCGGAAACCGTAGCAAAACGTTGCGCACCGTTGTGATCTTGAACATGCCCCAGTTGTTCCCCAGTTCCGTGGAACAGAATAACAGTCATCCTGCTAGTTGTACTGATTCTTAAAGCGTTAATTGCATACATTTCAACTCTTTCTCATCAAACTGCCAGACTAAATAATGGCCTGACACAAACAGTCTTCTGTGTAGACATAGGTTCACTATGACTAACTATGAGCGCCAGAGAAATAGCTACACTATTAGGTTAATTTGTGGTCACCATGGTTTAATATTAACCATGTTTTTTGGGGTTTTATTTGTAGTAAAAGCATGGTTAATTTCGCGCAGCTTTGCCACACAGATTTTGATAGTTGGTCAGTTAAATAAAACAGGCAGTGTGCCAAATATGTAGGCTAGGCCAGGGTAATTGTGTATTGAAGATGCGAAGTAAAATCACGAGTTCACACTTACATACAATTAGAGGGAGTAAAGTTTAATGCGTATTTGGCGTGCTGTCCGGGGGGAGGGCTCCGAGCCCCCAAATTCGGGCCGAACCCAGAGTAACTAATATTTAATGGCACGCATGGGTGAATTTAGGTCTAATTTTCTATGTTTATGAGAAGGGTCGAATATGTGATAAATGTGATAAAAAAAATTCCCCCCGTTTTTTCATTTTGAAGACAAAAACGAGAAAACGAATTATCCGAAGGTACACGGACCCCGAAACCAACACACGGACCAGTGTATCTCCACATAAATGTAAAGATGTTAATAAATCTTTCATATCCACTTTTGTAAGACTTACTGATACAGATACAAATTTTCTCCTAATTTATAGTGGCAGCACTCTTCACTATACCCACACTGTTCTGCCTTTATTTATTATCCGATGTTGTTTTCTTAAATGCTTTTGCACTTTCACTCTTTTACTCATATTTGATTTACTATATTTCCTTAATACCAGTATGCATGTAAGGTAAATTGCTTTAAAATACTTTAAAAGCATGACATTTATGAGCATATTCAGTAAATTAGTCAAAAATGAATTTTAATGTAAGTAAAAGCAAACACAAAACTTACTTTTCATTTTAGTTATACACTGTATGTCAGCACATAATAATTATAAAGTCTGCATTCTTCTCTATTTAGTCCCTGAAAGCCAGTCCTCCTGCCCTCCTCCCCTCCTCCCATCCATGCCTCAGTTATACGCTGTATATCCAAAAGAGGGATTAAAACCATAATTGTTCCCATGCATATCGCTTCGTTTTTTTCTCAGTCTCACCGCAAATATGTTTTCCTGAGTCTGGAGATAAAGGATGAGTCAATACCAAGAGATTCTCAGATTTGCCTTTCAGATATTTGCTAAATAAATTTGCTTAAATGTGTCTTAGCAGCTGGTCATCATTACCACGCAGCATCTTAATGAGGCAGATACAAAGAGAACTGAGGTTTTTTTATTTATGTTTTATGAAGAGATCGCAGTGTTCGGAATTGAAAGACTACGATTTAACTCTGTATTTAATACATTTATCTAATTTTATTTCCTCTTTCTCTCAAACAAATATGATACGATATGTGTATAATGACATGTCGATAATTTAACATGTTATGTGCGCATCTACGGTGGAAACAAATTTCCTCTCGTCTCGAGGACAAATAAAACAATCTATCTTAACCTCAAAACTACCCTCAAAAGTTTGAGTACATGTATAATGAGTTGCTTTCTGTTTATACACAATGATTTAACGTATTTTAAGAGCTTTCTCTAAACCTCCCCAAAAACAGAAGTGGAGATGGAGAATTTAATTTGAGATGATATGGAAGACATCCTCCTAATGTTCTCATTTGATTTAGACGCCACCATTACTCGCGTAGATGAGCTACAGAAATAGCCAACAAAATGAAATTCATTTGACCTCATTTTATTAAAATGATTTACAACTGTTTGTTTAACAATTTAGGCCAGCGAGGGATCAGTATTAGAATGTTTTAGTTTTGCCTCTCACATCTGTCCTTCTTGTTGTAGGTCATGAGGATGGCCTCTTGGGAAGAGAATTTGGGTCAGCCCAATCGCTCTGTGCTGGAGATGGAGGGGCCACCAGACCTGTCCAGCTCCCTCTTCAATCTCAGCAGCAGTTATGGGGCCACAGGGTCTTTCCTCTGGCTGTTTCCATCAGAGAACGTCACATGGACCACCATGAGGCCCACAATGCAGCCAGTTGCCCCTCCACGGGTACGGGACCAAGCCTTGGCCCAGGCGGAGATTGGGGTGCTGGGGCTGGTGCTTGCTCTCACTGCTCTGGGTAACGGATTTGTGCTGTGGGTGCTGCTGCGTAGGAAGAAACATGCTCCCATGCATCTCTTCATGGTCAATCTGTGCGTGGCTGACCTGGTAGTGGCCTTCTTTCAGGTAACCGCCTCTTCAGACTATTAAAATGATGAGTACGGAGAAAAGAGAGCGGGTAATGAGTAATCATTGACCTGAGTGGAAACATATAGTGAGACTACATTTATTAAAATGCAGTTGGCGTATCAGGCGTGGGAGTAATGATGTGTCAGCAGGGAAGTTATATAAATTGAAAAATTAATATTAATCAAAATAATTGTGATATGGCTTTTGTGCAAAGGCTGAAATTTAATTAAGTGTGCAGCGTGCTTTAGAGTAAAGTGCAGCACTGTGTTCTTTTATATGATTTAACGTTTGAAAAGATTAATATAGTATTAGTATTGTAATTTTACAGTTTACTGTAAAATAAAATTATTAATATTGTATTTTTCTTAAATACAATTTACGTTTTTTACACACAAAAAAACGGTGAAATGTTACAACAGTAATATTTCTTATTTTGTTTAACATTTTTATTTAATAGTAATAATAGTAATCAAAATAATAATGAGAATTATAATATTTATATAATGACAAACATTTTGGCCAATTTATGCATTAATTGCAAGCACAGCAGACCTGAAACTTAAAAAAATAAACACAAACACCCTCAATTTGAATCTCAATCACATTTTTTATCAGAAAAATCATGCATCCCTAGATGTTATCTGCTAATGTGGAAAAGAATATGTTTGTCATGATAAAATAATGGCAGTTCAAGCATGACAACTCTTGAAATAGTTTTAGCATGTTAATAGATAAGATAACGTTATTTGGTCTTGGTGGACAAGATCTCATACACATGCAGTTTCAGAGCAAGTGAGCATGTAAGATCTGCTGGACATAAATCCCTTAGCAGTTCTAGACGGGTGGAGCTGGTGGAGGTGGAGGGTTTCAGAGGAACTCTGATAGCGCACTGCAGGACCAGCTTGCAGCGAACACTGAACCACACTATTTAAATGTTGTGCAAGCAATCTCACTGGCTGCAGAATCGGCAGAGGCCAATCAGCGTGTGCCGTGTAGTAAATGATGTGCCATCTAGAGTTGCATGATCATAAATTCTAATTATATGTTTTTATTTTGTCCCCAGGTGCTGCCACAGTTGGTGTGGGACATCACTGAGCACTTCCATGGCCCTGACGCTCTGTGCCGCTCCGTCAAATATTTGCAGATTGTCGGGATGTTCGCATCATCCTATATGATCGTGGCCATGACTGTGGATCGGCACTATGCCATCTGCTGCCCCATGCAGGCGTATCGCGGGGGCGCGCCCTCTCGCTGGAACACCCCTATCATGGTTGCATGGGGCCTGGCCCTTTTGCTCAGTTTACCACAGGTGAGGAATAAATCTCAGATCATCCCTGACTGATTTATTTAATATGTTGTTCAAGCTCATGACTCTCTGCTCGCTCATACATAGGTGTTTATCTTCTCACGGTCAGAGGTGTCCCCTGGGGTGTTTGAATGCTGGGGCCACTTTGCTGAGCCATGGGGTCTTAAAGCATACGTCACCTGGATGACTGTGGCTGTGTTCATATTGCCAGCCTTAATCATCACTGTCTGTCAGGTATCTCCAGCTCATTATCTTTCTCTCTCAATCTCTCACTCCCTACTCAAAGTCTTGGCATGTTTAATGGAAATTAATAGGTGATATTCAGAATTCAGCAGTTAGAATTTTGGCTTTCTTTTGACTCATTTTGATGTAGTGTTCCTTTAGTTTAAAACAAAGAACATGGCACTAGAAATGCCAAGGTCATGGTTCGATCCAATGCATGAACTGATAAAATGGATACCTTAAATGCAATGCAACACATTTTTAGATAAATCGCCTGCCAAATGCATAAATGTAAATGACTAAGCCTCACCTTAAAAGCATTATATTGACCAGTCCTAATTTTAACTCTTTCCCCGCCATTTATGAGACAACGCTTCCCTGCCATTGCCTATACGCTAGGGGACACTATTTGATATCTTCTGAAAGAGTACTACTGAATATCCTGATCAAAACACATGGGAAGAAGAAGCAGAAACAAGCAATAGAATATGTAAGCAGATGCATATGTACAATAACGTGGTCATCAATATTAAGCAACATATAATTAAAAACTGCCTAATGTTACAGAATGAAATGTCTACCCAGGGCGAGCTATCGGGGTGTTACAGGGCGAGCTATCTTGTGCAAGCATTACACCGTGTCCTAACTACACGCGGCGCGCGATATAAAGGTATCTTTTCCATGTTAATCAGAGTTTTTGTCCTAACCAGCCGCGACGGCGACACGCGATGATTCTATTTTAGAAACGGTTTCTGTTTTTCTGCGACGTCGCGCTGGAACAACAAACACAAAGTATGGCAATGATAATCTCAGGTACTGTTTATGTGCTTTATTTAATGTTAAATGCATGCAATGTGACTGAATATCATTTAGTGCTCCAAGTGTATTCTTTGACAAAGATTGTTTTAGCAAATTATTTTTAATAATGTTTAAATGGTGTAATATTTGTGAATTTGATTTTGTAGCCTACTTATGCATTTTCTTGCGAGTGCCGTCAAGATTACTCTGGTGCTGTGCGCTTGCCGCGAGAGCCCGCCCACACGCTGTTCTGATTGGCTGTGGGTTTTGATTGATTTTGACGCATCTCGCAGTCGTGTTGCGTCTAGTGTGGACAAACTAATTATTTGTCGCTGGAATCTTTTAGCATCGCGTCTGGTTAGGACACAGTGGGGTATTGATTGACTCGATCTACTTCTGAATTCGATCTGGATGTAGTCTTTTACAAAAACACGTTTCTCTCAACTTTTTGCTCAAAATGTTGCTTTTTTATGAAACTTACCCACATTCAAGTGTTGATAAAAAAGAATACATTAAGCTAGAATAAAACGTTTAAAAAAACACAGGCTCTGTTCTTTCTTTTGACATATTGCATGTTCAGATATTCATAGAACAAAATATTCTGGGGGCCATTCAATTTTAGTGAAAATTATCAAAAACGCTGGTGGTTGCTGACAAAGATACCAACTGTTGCCATGTATAATTTTCTCAGACAAGCTCTTTGGAGGAGCTGCGTTTGGATAGTTTTATGGGATTATTGTAAATATCTTTCAAATATTATTCATATTATTTTACAAATTTCCAACACATTTTTACCACTTTACTAGCATGGTTTATCAAAAATAACACTGTTCACAGAAATCTCCAATTCATCTCCTATGGGATGTTCTGTAAAACTTGTCTGTGTTATTTCAATGCAGAACATCATTTTCTCAGATTAGGAATATTTATTTGAATTAACTTTAATACTTTCAAAACAGCCACAGATTTGAATTTAGCTATAAAGCTACAATTTAAATCCAGGAACTTAACTGGAATTTAAAAGTTAAAAGCATTCTTAACGGCACACAACTCTGTACCATAATAGAACTGTTTTTACATTGATATATCTCGTTTTCATCTCAGGTTCGCATCTTCAGAGAAATCCATGACAATATTTACCTGAAGTCAGAGCGGGTGGTGACGGCGGAATTCAAGAGGAACTCTGTCTTCTTCCACTTTGCTCAGCGGGAGGGGGGCAGGGGAAGGAGCAGAGAGAGAAACAGACAGAGCAGACACACTCACCATGCTGACAGCAGTTTCAGTCAAGCTCACTGCAGCTCCTCACATCGTGCCAGAGAGGAAGAGTCCCACTCAAGCCTATATGATGACTACTCTCAGACTTTACCCTGCAGGAGCTCTATCTGTGAGCCCTGCTTTGGGCCCCGCCCCTCTTCAGACAGCTCCTCCCCTTCCATCACAACTCACCAGCAAAACACCCCCAACCATCTCTCAGACCCCTCCCATTCTCAGTCATTATCAGCCAATAGCGTTTCTCCAAACAGCTCTGGAACTTCTGAACTGTGGCCAGATGTGCTTCCAGATGCTTTTCCCATTCCGACAGTGTATTCGCACCCGCCACCTCTCCCAGGTGTGACCAAGGCCATGTCTAAGACGGTTAGGATGACTCTTGTCATTGTGCTGGTCTACACCATCTGCTGGTCTCCCTTCTTTATTGTTCAGTTATGGGCAGCCTGGGACCCCAACCCACCAAACCAAGGTCAGACTTTAACTACTGTAGATATACATACATGTATGTACATGTCCTGTATAGTCACACAACATATTGCAACAGTGCCGCCCCATTTTTCAGCTGCACTGGTTCTGGAAGAACTTTTTTTTTTTTTTCATTTCTCCCATAAAATAGTCTTCATTAAAGAGTTATAAGCCATGAATCACAACACTGAAACTTTGGTTTTCAGAAAAAGTTTTTGAAAATCAGACAAAAACACAAAGGTACAAGACTGTAGTACTGGTTTTATTGAGGGAAAGAACTACAATCCCATGAAGCATTGCGAACAGCATAATCTTAAAAACAATTGAGAAATATAAGACTACTCATTTACAAATGTTGATTATATGTATAAAAACAATAAGTCTATTGCAAAATATGCATATATATAAAAACATTTCAGTATTTTGAGAGCATAGAGAGATCGCCTCGATTACATAATTTGCAGTACCTCATGGCAGTGGGCGGAGCTAAAGAGCTATTTTGGAGCTGTTGCTTTTTTGACTCTCTGATTGGTGTAATTTTCTGTACAGAATAACAGCTGATGTAGTTTTTCACCAGGAATTCCACTGTTAAACGCGTTTTTTTTTAAATAAGATGAAATCATGCGACATGACAGCTTCAGCAGAGGCAAATACCATGGATTAACAACCTCGTAGCTCACAGTAGGTCTGTCTTTAAAAGTTTATAAGCTATTGTTAAAAATCAATTTCCTTATGGAACCTGACTGTTGCATCATATTCAAATGATTTCTGAAGGATCATGTGACACTGAAGACTGGAGTAATGATGCTGAAAATTCAGCTTTGCCATTAGCAGGGTGGTGTTAAATAACCAAACAATCAACACATTCTCCAGGAATCTCTCAAAAACAGAGGTGCCTGTTCTTGGAAATCTACCTTCCAGCAGAGTTTCATTCCAAGTACAATCAAAAACACATGATTCAGTTCATCAGGGTCTTCAAGTTTACTGGGAAATTGCAGGCAGGTGTGTTAGAGCTTGGCTGGAACTAAAGTCTGTGGGAGGAGAGACCTCCAGAAGCAGAAATAATCAATCATGTTTTCAATGTGTCCCTTTTTATTTTCCTCTTCTTTTTTTTAACTGTCCCCTGCTTTCTTTCCCTTTAACACATAAACAGAAAAACACCTGCTCACTCGCCTGAGTGTTGGGTAATCTCATTGGTATTTACACCTCTGTATTAAACTGGACTTTCTGCACAGTTTGACCAGCCACCTGGTAACCAAATCACTATGAAAATCAGCACAATTTCAGCATTTTAAAGTTCTATCCCCCCACCTCACTTGTTTTTCAGTCAGATTATACAAATGACAGTAAAGACATTATTGTGACAAAATATTTCCATTTCAAATAGAAAGTTAGAATTTTCTATTCATCAAAGAATCCAGAAAAAAAGATTACGCTAAGCGGCACAAATGTTTCTTGAGCAGCAAATCGGCGTATTAGAATGATTTTTGAAGGATCTTGTAACACTGAAGACTGGAGTAATGATGCTTTGCCATCACAAGAATAAATAACACTTTCATTATAATAATATTTCACAATATTAGTATTTTTACTGTAGTTTTGATCAATTAAATGCAGCCATGGTGAACAGTGAGACTTCTTAAAAAAACTTACCAACAACTTTTCAATTGTAGTGTATTAAATATGTCTTATATGCAAATTCACTGTGTTAGTTTGTAATTAATTTATGGCCTTTTTCCTTACAAAAACTACAGCTTCTGTACAAGTAATTACAGTTAATGTCACTGCTGCAAAGTCATAATATATGAATTCTTATTTTCATTTGTGTTGCAGTCTTTAAAGCTATTATAAGCGATTTTAAGATGTTCACCTGGTGGATGATCTCATAGACTTTTATTTACACATGTATATATGCAGTATGCAGTAGACTAATACACACAAATGGCTTTGAGTTGACTTTTATCTCTCATACAGGGGCTGCTTTTACTATCCTGATGCTGCTAGCCAGTCTAAACTCCTGCACTAACCCGTGGATCTACACAGCCTTCTCCAGCAGTGTGTCCCGTGAGCTGCTCGCACTGCTGCGCTGCCAAACCGGATCCCCACGTCGAGGTTCCCTGCCGGACGACTCAACCACAACTCACACGTCAACCAACACCAAGGACTCATTATACTGACCTCTGGCCTGACTCTACTACTACACACACACACACACCAGCACATGGCAAACACTGATGTGATGGGCTAGACCCTTTCCCAAATGCTACTCTTTGCCCACATTTCGGTGGCATAATGGCAGATACATTTGTCCTCGTGAACAGCCTTTCACCCTACGATCTTATGAACTTCACAGGCACGCGCCACAAGTGTGCATGAAGTGCGCCATTTGATGCAGGACTGGGGTAATGTCCACACATGTCCTTTAGAGATTCAGAAACATGGTGGTTACACAATATGAACAGCAGATACTGATCCATTAATAACAACTTGCATCAGTTTGAAAGACAAAACCACATCGCCATGCCTAGTGCATTTCACAGACAGCTGTCCGTTCAGTCACACGAAAGCAGACTGGAGTGATGAATCAAGAGGAAGAGGAGGGGGATGTGCTAGGAAGCGAAGGATCAGAGGTCCTCCATTGTTCTCCATCTTTCTTTCATGCCTCAACCGAGTGTTTTCATAGATTAGCATCACAGGATTATATCAGAATTCACCGTACAAAGTAAGTGTGGAGAATGCATGTGAACAACACATACAGAATGGACAAAACGTTATCTGGATATACTCGAGATAGCTGCACAAGACCAGCGGCAAGATGCTGCGAATTAGATCGTCAGAAGTTTAGGGGAACATATTCACCACCAGCAAGAATGTTATGAAAATATCATGACATGGGAATCAAACACAGTGGCAGCTTAGTGATTTTCTGAATTATATGTCAAATCTAAAGAAAGACACTGTGAATTGAATTGGTTAACAGTATTTGAGTACTAGCTAAATGATTAGAATTGCTGCAGTGGAAGGGATTACAGCAGGCAGAAATCTACATTTGACCACAGCTTTTTTTTTACAGAAGAAACAGGGTAATGGTAAATGAACAGCAATATACAGGTATACGTATTGTAGGTAGCAACATTTCGAGAGCAACTGCTACAGTTGAAATCTCTACATTGTGTAAAAACGAATCACACCAATTTCAGTTTCATCCACAAGTTTGTCACTCTTTTAGCTCTCTACCTCTGCTCTTTGTTTGATTTTGTGTTAAAAGTTTTATTTTGTCTCATTTGAAATCGGGACCATTCACATGATTCAGAGTAACTTATTTGTACAGAAAAAAATAACATTATAATAAAGAAGTGTAAAAGGATTAAGAAAAAATGTACTACACTGCAACTTAAGCGCCTTATTATAAAGAAAAGTATTATATACATATGTACATGTATGTTTGTAACGCACAGATTCTTGAGGTACTTGGTTAGTGCAATTAGGAATTCAGTAGAATTGTGGAAGTTCTAGGACTAGTTCAATCTCACACTTTTGAGTGCTAATATCACGTATTTATTCAAAACACTTTTCAAGCATTTTAGAATTGATTTGGAAGAAAACTCACTCTTTAGGAAAGCCTTACTCTCATAGCTTGAGAAAATAGTTGTTGTTTTTCCCAAATATTTTGGCCTATCACATGTCATGCTTGATGACAAAAGGATTGAGATCGGAAATGCATTAATATTTCCTCATTTAACAAAGAAATTGGTTACAAATCATATAATTGAACAATCAATTTTGATTGGTACAAATGTACTATTTCTCTCCATGATAATGACCTTGATTAACTGTAAACTACTATACCGTTAGATATTAGTAGTAATCATATTGAAACTATTCTGAGAAAACTAACAGCTAATGACCTTTTTAATATCCTCAATGCATAATGAATATAAATCACATATTTGATACATAAGATATGCAGTACCTAAATATGACTGACAATGTAATAAATTATTTTTTATATTACTTTGTTGTTCTTTATTTATTTCCTTTTTAATTGCTTCATCCTCATCAGGTAACTTGTATATTTATATAAACTTGTATAACAAAAGTCTCACATTCATAGGCCTCAAAAACACACTTTTGTTAAACACCAGCTACAGTCTTGATGTACTGTAAGGAAATATATGCATAACTCACTTGAATTGTTTAACAACGTCACATCTGTTGAGGTCATTTAATTAATCGCACCAAAGCAATGGCAATGTTTTTCTTTATTTTGTTGCACTGGTTGATATACAAATGGAAAATGATTGTAAAATGTTTTTCAAAAATGTTTTCAGTTATACCATTGTACAAATACTCTATTCGCAGTAAATCGAGAATAATTTACTCCTTATTGGTTCCATCTATTTATTTATGCTTACAACTAAAAATACTGAGCGGAGTTGCTCGGTGAATTAAACTTGAGATGATGCAAATGAGAAGTGCAAATACATTGCAAACATTATTTGAGATTAGTTGCACAGCTATAATTTTACGAGAATTGACTGTAGTCAGTCGAGTCTGGCTCTCGTGTCAGCCTCTACTACTTATCCCGGATATTTTGTGGCATGTGAACGACTCGATGTTGTTGGAGGGGCTTATGAAACAATAGAGCTAAAAAAAAATAAAAAAAAAATGCATTATGATATGGATTTTCAATGCAACCATATGCTTGTGGATTTGCTTTCGGTCTACCCTGCCTTTGCTGACTGGGAGATGACAGGCAGACGGGTGCCAAAAGTGTGGGGTCAAAAGTGGTGACTGCATGTACCCGTCTCTTTCCTTTATGCAAAGAAACTTCACAAAAACATGACAGGCTATTTTTGCCTCTGCATCACAGATGAGAAAATAATACTTTCTTCAGATGACTGTATAAGAAGAGCCACCTGTTTTAAGGGGAATTTCACCAGTTTAATTAGAAGATACTACAATAGGCTATCTCTCTTAATCTGAAATCTCAGTTTGAGTGCTACTGGGAGACGCCTGATGTGATCATCACCATCAGATCCCACTTAGAAAGAAAAGATTAACTGTAATGCACAGCACATTCTTACATGCACGTTAACCCCTGTTAACTGGTTAATCAAGCATGCCTTAAAGGGTCACATGGGATAGAGGACAGAGAGACTGGATATGTTCAGAATGGAACACTAGCTTACAACTTACTGAATACAGTCTTCTAATTATATATGAATACACACTACACCGTTCAAAGATTTGGGGTCAGTAGGATTTTTCTGTCTCTTATGCTCACCAAGGCTGCATTTATTTGATCAAAAATACAGTGAAAACTGTAATGTTTTTAAATATTATTACAATATAAAATAGCTGTTTTCTATTTTAATTTAAAATGTAATTCCTGTGATGGCAAAGCTGAATTTTCAGATCCTTCGGAAATCACTCAAATTTGCTGATTTGGTGCTTAATGATTTCTTATTATTATGCTGAAAACAGCTTAGATGCTAAATATTTTATATATTTTTAAAATATTTTTTCAGGAATTTTTGGAGCAGAGGTCCAAAGTAGCATTTATCTGAAATATAAAAAATCTTTTGAAACATTGCAAATGTGTTTACTGTCACTTTTGATTAATTTACGGCATTCTTACTGAATAAAATTTAATTTCTTTCTTAGAATTTTTTTCCCCATATATAGCAGCCTACTATCTTGCTTCCCTTGTTGACAAGATAAAACCCCCACTGAAAAAGATGAATCTTTTTGACTGTTACACCACTCAGTCTTGATGTCTAGAAATGGAGATCTGAGAACAGCTGCAAAGGGTATTTTTGGAGATTGGCTGCAAAAATGCACTTACATCAGAGGCAGTCATTGTGGTTCATCTATGCAGATCCTTAGGGGCTCGTGCTCTCCATACAGAACTCACAAATGAATTGGTAGCATACTACAGACACTATCAATGCTAATCAAACAGGTCATTTTGATTCATTTGCATATCTTTCAGTTATAAAAGTATACTTTGCTGACATAAAGAATCTTGCAACTAATGGTTTTTAAATCATACAGCTCAGCATTTCAGACTTAACTGGTAACTTAAAATTTTGGAACTATAAGAGTCAGAGTAGCTTTATTATCATTTCAGGTCTGTGTCTGTGTCTTTTACAATACAGATAACTTTGCGGATCCAACGTGTGTACACGCTGTATGTCTGTGATGTAGGAAAGAAAGACCCTGACGATCTTCTCAGCTGCAGCACTATCTGCTGCAGGGTCTTGCGTTCCTCGATGGTGCAATTCCCGATCCAGACAGTGATGCAGCTGCTCTGAATGCTCTCAACAGTCCCTCTGTAAAAAGTAGTGAGGATGAGGGGGTGGGAGATGGGCTTTCTTCAGCCTTTGTAGAAAGTAGAGACGCTGCTGGGTTTTCTTCGCTATGGAGCTGGTATTGAGAGACCATGAGGTTCCCCACCAAGTGGACACCAAGCAGAAAGAGCTTGTTACGTGCTCTCCTTAAGTCAACAACCATCTCTTTTATTTTGTCCACGTTGACTTTGCCCTAGTCCGTTAGCCGATGCACCTCCTCTCTGTATGCCAACTCATCGTCTTTCCTGATGAGACCCACCACAGTTGCACTCAAAAAAATGGTTTTGTGGCTCTGTTATTTTTACCCAAGTATGTTTTGTTAAAGTAACACACATATATTTCTTTTACCACCAAAACACTATTGTATTGCATTTAATTAACTTAAACTGTCACTCAAAAAAAATGACTCTTAAAACTTACTCAATTTAATTATGGACAGTGGTTCCACACAAGCACATTTTTTTTTATTAACATTAATGGAATTTGTTGAATCTATGTAAGCTCCTTGTGTTGTGACAACACAACTGAATCAGATAGAATCTATGTGAAATAGTAATGTCCAAACAAATCAACGGAATTGCTTCCCTGTAACTGATACAGACTTAACTGAACCGATATAGACTTTCTTCGAACCTTCGTACAAGGTTAAAAACTAGTTCAAATGTGGCCATTGTGGACATATTGTCAACATCATTTATGGTCTCATTTAGACAGAATTACTTTGACTATTGCTGTCAGATGATCTTAGTGAGAATTAGCAGAAGTTTAGATATTTAGATTATTAGATATTTAGATATTTGTTTCATTTGAAGTGTCACCATTGTGGTGATCAGTGTTTGCTTTAGTTGGGCTCTTGGTCCCTGTAGATTTTACATTCAATTTTCATTGGCTGCTGTAACTGTGTGTTTGTATAACACAATTGTTGTGGCAGAGAAAGCCAAGAAAAAGTTAGATCAGGTGTTATCAGTTCAATGTTGATGATGACATAATCATCACAAATCAAGTTTCAAATGTTGAGTTTAAAATTGTATTTATGTTTGGCATTACCAACCTTGTGGAAGTGCAATATTGGTGCCAATAGAATAAGAAATATTTTTAAAATATAAAAAGCATGTGCACATGATGTTTTGAGCAAATGTATTATGTAGTCACACACAGACATCATGATTTTGGATATGAATCACAACAATGGTGACAATCAAAACAAAAAAGCTTGGGAATCAATGATGAGTTTTGAACTATGAAAGCTACCCACCATGCATTGCAGCATGACCATTTTTTTTATTGTCACCATTGTTGTGAATCATATGTAAAATCTTGATGTCTGTGTGTGACAACATATGTTTGCTCTGAACATCGTATGCACATAATTTTTATCCACCTCTAAATAAGTGATCATAAAAATGCTATTGGTGCCAGTATTGCAGATCCACATGGTGGTGGCTAGAAATGCGAAAGTGTCTGACAACATTAGATGAATGTTTTGTAAAGCTTTCATCATCAACATCAACATCAACATGAAGGGGCGGCAGTGGCTCAGTGGTTCATGTGGGTTGTCTACAAACCGGAAGGTTGGTGGTTCAATCCTCGGTTCCACCTGACCAAGTGTCGAGGTGTCCATGAGCAAGACACCTAACCCCAGCTGCTCCCGACGAGCTGGATGGCGCCTTGTATGGCTGCCGTCGCCCGTCGGTGTATGAATGAGTGAGTGAATGGGTGAATGTGAGGCAAAATTGTAAAGCGCTTTGGTGGCCATTGGGTCTGTGAAAGCGCTGTATAAATGCAGTCCATTTACCATGAAGCTGATAACACCTGATCTTACTTATTCTTGACTTTCTTTGCAACATCGACTGTGTTATACAAACACAGAGATACAGCAGCCAAAGAAAAGCTAAAGTAAAAATTAAGGGGACCAAGAGCCCAACTACAGCAAACACTGATCACCACAATGGTGACACTTCAAATGAAACATCAACATCTAAACTTCTGTTAATTCTCACTAAGATCATCTGACAGCAATAGTGAAAGTAATTCTGTCTAAATGAGACCATAAATGATGTTGAAAATATGTCCACAATGGCCACATTTGAACTAGTTTTTAACCTTGTACGAAGTTTCGATGAAAGTCTATATCGGTTCAGTTAAGTCTGTATCAGTTACAGGGAAGCAATTCCGTTGATTTGTTTGGACATTACTATTTCACATAGTAGAAGCTGTTCCGGACTGTGAGGTCTCTCAGACAGGAAGTCCAGGATTCAGTTGCAGAGGGACAAGTTCAGGCTCAGAAGGGTCAGATTTCCAATCAGGTGCTGAGGAATAATTGTTTTGAATGCTGAACTGAAGTCTTTGAACAGCATTCTTACATGTGTGTCCTTTTTGTCCAGGTGAGTGAGAGCTGGGTGGAGGGTGTGGTGTCGTCTGTTGAGCATTTGGGGCACTATGCAAACTGTAAGGGGTCCAGTGTAGGGGCAGAAGGATCTTGATGTGGATCATGACAAGCCTCTCGAAGCACTTCATGGCGATGGGTGTGAGTGCGACGGGCAGGTAGTCATTGAGGCTGGACACCGTGGACTTCTTCGGCACAGGGACGATGGTGGTGGCCTTGAGGCACGTTGGGACGAAAATTATTGCATCATGTTAATTACAAACTGCCAATTCACATTCACAACAAAATAAGATTTGTTTTGCTGTAGGACTGAAGATTTGGCAGCGAAAGCATAAATTCAACAGCAGGGAAGCTTTCAAAATTAATATACCATCCCTAATCATAACACACAAAAATGGAATAATCAGTGATGATCACAAACACTCAATGCTCCGCTGTACAAAGAGAACCAATGGACAGTGCAACAATTGGTCCACCAAGGTTTCTGCTGAACAGGTTTAGACCGGGAATGGTGACAGAGTCAGTGAACAGAAAATGAGTGGAATCAGAAGCTGTTAAAGTATTTCCTCACCGTGAAAAGACTCTGCACCAAAAAGGACATTATGTAAGAGAAAAGAGGGGTTGCAGAATGTGAGGGGGGAAAACAAAATATGTCCAGAGTGAGCGATTATGTATCTCTCCCTTTCCTAATCGAATCAAACCAGATGATACCAGGAGAAGAACTGGTAAACAAAATGTTTTAGGTCGATAAAAAGAGAGATGATTATCTTTAGTGGTCTAATTGCCGATTTAGGCAAGAAGAGAAGACAACACCTAAAAGTGAAAGGACAGGGTAGAAATGGGAAGAACTCTGCCTTCACAAATTCCTATAAGTTTTCATATCGAGCTGATACACACACTGAACCATTGGAACAGTCTCTAATTATTCTGAGGGATAGATGACAAATGGACAATTAAGACATTTTTCTCTAAATGGATAATGTATTCTCCAGCACTCTGCTTTTCTCTGCATGAACCCAACAGCAAATGCAATTTAAGATAGAAGTCAAGTGATGTTTATTTGCCACTAATGAAATTAGTATTTACTTTCCAGTCAAATGAAAACTCTCTTCATATTACCTCAAAGTTTATGAAAGTCAAACGTTTCAACCTACATCTGCCTACTGGCAGAAGATGAAAAAAATCTGTTTCTGATCATGCACATTTCTGACAACTATGTTCATTCGTTCTTTTTCAGTATCCCCTCGCTCAAAAAAACAATTGCCTGTTGCCATACGCTTAAAAGTGCTTTCTTTATCAAACACTCAGCTGTCAATTACTACATTTGAGTTTAAAAGGATGTCAACTAAAGCAGAATGACATAATGTTGTTGAGACAAGCCAATGCATAAAGAGAACAGAGCCAAGACTTCCATCTTACAGTGTTGCACTCTGCTGACACATTGTGGTGAACTACATACAACACAAGACAGTCAACAACAGAGACCATGAAACAAGCGTCAAGCTTCAATGAATAATAAGAGTCAGTTTTGAGAAATTACAAGTTTATTGAGTCACATTGGTTTAATGAATGAAAACTGCAATGACAAAACCAGTGCCAGGAGAATGAACGTGGCAGTTCAGCCTATCCCTTCCTATCTAACATCAACCTCACCTGTCCCATGAGCTGGGGTTAAAGAGAGAGGTGTCATAAAGAGGACTGTGGACACTGCTGTTCTGTCCTAGCCATTCAAACAGCACAACTGGCATTCTGGGCTCACCCGCTGGACCGGAGAAAGCTGCTCAACCCTTTCTCAGATACAAGAGGGAGAACCAGACTACCTTATCTTCTGTTCAAAATCAACAGAAGAAAAAGATCATCCATATGTCTCACCACAATCGTTCATAATTAACTGCTGCCCCTAAAACCAGACGCATGTTGTCCATATTATTATGAATGAAGAACCGCTCTAACCTACTTTAACTAGTGTAAGGTCACTCTATTCAGGAAAAAGACCCACAAGACAGAACATTATAACCTAATTTTACCAGACATAATTGAATGTTACAAGAATGTCCTATTAAAACAGATGGATGAATCAGACTGCTTGGATACAAGATAAACACCAACTAAAAGCACTTGAAATTTGGATACATTTTTGACAAAATAAATATTGATTGTACCACTAAATATCTCAACTAATCCAACATTTATGATTACTCAGGCTCCAGGATACATTGGTGTGATAGTGTTTCTTTGACACGTGTTTGTCAGATGGCTTAAAAAAAAAACACGTCTGATTGTCATTAAGTATATTTGCTATTCAAAGCATCCAATTGATCAAGAACTCATTGGAATGTTTTCTTTGTAAACCCAGCTTCATTTTAGTGTGAGGTCTCAAAGCCTCCACCCCATCAAGTAGAAATAATTAAGCTCTGGAAACTGGATATGGTTTCATTCTCATTTCCACAACAACACAAAAGTTTTATTTCATTAATTAGGGTACTCACCCTTGTGTTGTTCCAAACCTGTATGCTGTTTTCAGAGGAACACAAAAGCAGAACTATCAGCCCTTTTTCCATACAGCTACAATTACTTGCTAACTCAATCTCGAGTTAACAGGTCACAAATATTAACAAATGTTGTCTGTTCACTTTCTTAGTCAGAAAAAGATCAAAGCATTCATACACTGACTTGAGAAACATAAATATAAGATTTTGTCTTGTTTTCTGAAAAATGTATCAAAATTAAGTGAGTTAAATGAAAAACGAATCAGCCAACGGGGTAAGAAAACTACAAAAACAGGGTTATTTTTCTTACCCCATTAACATTTTTCTCTTGTTTTAAGTATAAAATCACTTCTTTTTTATACTTTTTCCATAAACAAGATGTTTTTTTGCTTCTCAAGAAAATGTTTCTTAATTTAAGAATGATTTGATATTCATACTGGAATATAAGACAAAATCACTTTTTGCAGTGGCCTCTAAAAGACTTGAAATATAGTGCAGAAGGACCGATTTCACTGTTTTTTATAGAAAAATGTCTGCCTGAAATTCCTCCTTTTGTGTTCAACAAAAATAAAACAAAAATTAGCAAATAGCAGCATACAGATTTAAAGCAACATAAGGGTTAATAACTTAAGTTAGCTTTTATGGTTTTGGTGAACTATTCTTTTAAAGAATAGCTGTTAAACATTGAAAAACAGTCAACCAAGGGGAAAAAAAAGAAAACAGAGTGGAGCTGTGTGTGTGTGTGTGTGTGTGTGTGTGTGTGTGTGTGTGTGTGTGTGTGTGTGTGTGTGTGTGTGTGTGTTTGAAAGAATGAGTTGGAAAAGAGAATGAGAGATGAAAATACGTTAGCTTGTCCATTCCATCTCCCACCAGGTCAGTTAAAATATTTTTGGTCTGTTGCTCTCAACCCTTTGGTTGAACGGGGGGAAGGAATGGACAGCAAGAGTAACCATACACGCTCTGTCCTTCACAAACACCATGTCTGTTATGAGCACACACATTCAAATCGATCATCATAGTAAGGGTCAGGGGTAAAGAATAATGATCACTGAGAGACCCCCTGTGGCGTTGTGGAGTTGTTATGTCTGCTGAACCTGAGGAGGACTAGCATTATTGTTGCTCGCCTCCTGCGCGTTGACCACAGAGCCACGGTACGGGACCTCTATGATCCGAGGTTTGTCGATGATGCGGGCGCAGCGACTGCCCTTCTCCACGATGCCAATGATCCAAGCCTGTTGCCCATCGCCCACCCCTCCATCCTGCCCCACTGCTCCCGACAAACCCACACGACTGGATTTCATCTCAGCGCAAAACCGGGCTGCCTGCTCCCGTGGCAAGCAGATCAACAGGCCACCTGAGAGAGGCAGGAAAAAGATTTTATCTACCCAAGAGCTTGTAGACCAGGATCTCTACTGACCAGGATTGTTCATTTTCAGGAATTGATAAATTATTAATTAAATTAATTATTAATGTTAATGTTAATAATTGCAACCCAATTGCAAAATTGTTAACCCATGTGCATTTATTTTTATTAAATTTAATTTGAACAAATGTGAATATCAATATTGTTAGTCAACTGTATTTTAATATATTTTAGCTGTTTAGTAAGTATTTAATTCTTCAATTTACCGTTCATTTATTACTATTTACAACACGTATAGAAAATAAAAGATACAAATCTTTGAACATTTTAAATTACTTTTCACTTGTCAATTGGGAGGATGCAGGGAGAACGACAGACTAACAGTGAGTGCATAATTGCAAAGTTATGATGATAATAATTCTTAGTTCACTGTAAAACGATTGTGTTTGCACAATCGCACAGAGCTGTGACTCTCACCTGAGGTTTCAGAAGAGGTGCCCTGCAAAAGCCCAAATAGGTTGCCACCAGCTTTGCTGATTGCGGCCATTTTGGAGATAATGGGAAGGTTGTGAATGACAAAGGCAACGTCATTTCTCTGCTGCTGGGCGAGATTCCGTGCGTGACCTATGATCCCAAAGCCTGTGATGTCTGTGGCAGCATGTGCATTAAATTTGTGCATTAAGGCTGCAGCTGGACAGAGGGAGAGAGAGAAAAAGAATTTAAAAACAATGTAAAACCTGTTGTAAAAACTGATGAAATTACCTTATACACTACCGTTCAAAAGTCTAAGGACAGTAAGATTTAGTTCATGTTTTTGAAAGTCGATTAAGCTCATTAAGGCTGCGTTTATTTTTTTATCAAAAATATAGTAAAAACAGTAGTATTATGAAATATTATAACACTTTAAACTAACTGTTTTCTATTGTAATATATTTTTAAGTACCCCTGTTGTCAAAAATTGTATTCCTTAAAACTCGAAAAATCGATGATCACCAAAATGGCATATTTAAAGTTTTTTCCTTGGAGTTTGTTTTTACTCAAGCCTTCAAATTGCTTGAATGTAACTACACTCTTGCTTCATGTAGTTAGTATACGTGGTGGACCCATGAATATGCAAATGAGCCCCACCTCGCCTACAAGTCGATGTTTCAGATTGGTGATGCGTTTTATGTATCGCTCTCTACAACGGCGGACACAACATTTTTTTTTACTTCATTATCAAACAGCTAATAATCTGCTGCCTTCTAAAAATCAGTATCCTTAGAAACACTTTGAACAACTCAGAACGTCAGTGGAGAAAGGCATATTGTTCATCATAACATCGTAATACATCATATACATAAATCACTTGCTATATATACTTGATTTTTCATATCAACAGAAAAATGTACCGGGATAACCTGGCTTCTCGAGACTCCACTGCTTAACAGCGGTCATTGTTAATGATATGCTAAAGCCCGCCGGCACGTTGCGCTGCCGCTGACCCAGAGAAAGCAGTTATCATGTATCGATATGAAACAGCTTCACAAACAGTCTTTCTTTTCAACATCACAGTATCATTATTTCAGTGTTACAAATATTCAAATTATCACAGAAGTACTGCATTCAAAAGATTCATTCATAAACACCAATTCATCCAGTAATGAAAAAAGTGACGTATTTAAGAGTCATTGAATCATTCATTCAAACTAGGGATGCACAATTAATCACAATGAAACCACACGCGATTTGGCAAAGGCTGCGATTATTTTATGCGCAGCTTGTCAGTGCAGCACGGCTGATCGGTAGTAAATGCTGCTTCATCTGAACGCCAGAGGGCACACTAAATATGCCCCGCCGCAGAAGTATATTAATAACACACATCATTCCTGGAAATCCCTATACTGTAGCTGAATAAACAGAAGATTGAAACGCTTTGATTAAACATGACTAATAAACACACAACTGCCTTATTCTGTGTAAGAAGCCACATTATCTCACAGAAGGATGCTCAACTGTCGTTATGAAAGTGTAAAAGCATGTTATTAAATGTTGTCTTTTGTTGGACATGGTTCATAAATGCTTCTCATGTTAGGAAAGATGTTTGACGCGTGTTGCTTTTTCAAATTCACGTTAAGCAAGCGACCCAAACTTACAGTGCTTTCAGATGGAGCAGCGTTTACAGAGCCGTACATCAATGACGAGCTGCGCATAAAAACAATAATCACAGCCTTTGCAATTTCAAAATCATGATAAGCCAAATCAATTTAAGTGCGACTACATGTAAATTGTGATGAATCGTGCAGCCCTAATTCAAACAAAATAACGTAATATAGAGGTTATTTATGGGAGAACCGTAATGAATTTGTTTGAAACAAAAAAAAATTGTGATCAATTTATTCAGAATCGTAGAGCTCTACGGCAAAGCTGGATTTTCAGCATTATTACTCCAGTCTTCAGCGCCACATGATCCTTCAGAAATCATTCTAATATGCTGATTAAGTGCTCAAGAAACATTTCTTATTATCAATGTTGAAAATACAGCTTAATATGCTTTTGGAAACTGTAATCTTACTGACCCCAAATTGTTGAATGGTAGTGTATATGCCTAGAGAGATCTTGTAGTAATTAAATTAAGCAACAAATGAAAAATAAATGCATCTTTCTTTATTAGTACTGCAAAAGATATTTATATTTTCCTCATCATTTGAAAGTACGCATATAGGCCATTTGATCTAGTACAAACAGAGGTGCAAAACTAGGAGGTGTGTGTGTGTAATGAATATTGGCCCCATTGTTAAAAATAATCCATGCTAATAATGCTTATGCAATGACATACCAGTGCGATTGAGGGTGGCCATGTTGAGCATAGCCTCCTGATAAGCTTGCTCCACCTCCTCCTTGGAAATCACCAACTTTATCTTGTTCCATTTCTCAGGCTGAAGAAATTAAGCATAAAGGTAAAAGAGATACAGAGAGAAATGAGATGAGGTTGCCATCTCTTCATAACTTAAAGGAGAAAGGGAGAAAGAACAGCACAAGCAATTATTCCACAGATGAAAATGTATACTCACTATATCCAGCCACTGATGGGCATTCACTGCTACTTGAGTTCCCAAAGGTTTAGTGAGAACCAACACATCTCCAGGTACAGCACTTTCAGGCCTGCATATATACACAGACATATGTGAGCATTTACAAAACAAAAACAAAATGTGAATTGTCAGACAATTAATATTTCCTTTTGAAATTGTGGTAAATGTTTGTTTAGGAAAAACTAGATCATCCAGAAACAAGTGTACAGATAGTCCTTTGATTCATGAGAAACCAGACAGAAACACTCACATGATGAAATCGTTGGGCTGGCACACAACGGAGGCCACGCCCCCGACGATGATCCAGGGATTGATGACTGTTTGTCCCCCGGTTACTGAAGTCCCGCCCTCCTCCGCCGCATCACGGAAGCCCTTCATCATTAAAGGCATCACAAGCTCTTTCTCCTGAGAGAACATCAGCACAGTACAAACAAAATAAGCCATTTCACGCTCGGCTTTCTGATTTTGCAAAAACATCATGCAAAAATGTAGTAAACATTCTGTCCATATATACTGAAAATTACATTTTTGCATTAGCTTTAAAAAGTAAAACCAAAAATTATACGACAGCGAGAATGAAAGCAGAGAGATTCCAGCGCACCTTCTCATTCATCTTCTGACTGACGCTGAGAAGCATGAGCATGTTGTCACACTCTGTGATGCCCATAGCGTACAGATCACTCAGAACATTTGCACAGGCAATTCGTCCCTGTAAAAGAATGGACATGAGTTGGACACATTTTTTTTTTGTGAGGTGCATGCTAACTTTTGCGAAACATTAATAAGATTTCACTCACCATCATGTAAGGATCCTCCACTAAAGGATAGAAGAAATCTGTGGTTTGGACCAGGGAGAGACCCCCGTGCCTCAGAGGGATCACACATGAGTCCATTCCAATACCTGCAGTCAAGAACAGTGAAATTATTTTTCACTCACTGGAAAATCATGTGCAAAGTGCATGTTTATAGAAGCTAATCATATACTATGGGGACTTAAATCTTTATAAAAATCATTCAGTTTGCAATGGTAAGATAAGAAATTAATTGTGATCTAATTTTCAGTGGTAAACATTGACTTGAAGCCTAAGTCCATAGTTCACATTATTGCATTATACTTCCCAGTAGTATTTAATTAACAGGACATAAGTCAAAGGTTAATCAAAGAGTTTTACTAACCCAGACGTTATATGATATATATATATATATATATATATATATATCCAAAACGTTACAGCAAAAACCATCTCAATAAATAAACATTTATTTGCTTAATCAACCGGTTTAGCAAAGAAATGCTTATTTATATCAGTTTAAAAGCCATGATGGGGAAGTCTGACTCATTTCCTTGAATCGGTTCTTCCATTCGTTTCTACGACCCAGTTCACAAAACTGATTCAGTGGGTTTTTTTTACATCCAAATAAAGCCATACGCTGACCACATATAACAACTTATTAAGGTTTTTCCATAAGTAAGATTGTTTACGTGTATCTTATTTTTATATAATTCTATTAAACAAATCAAGTCAAAAATATATTTCCCGTACGTTTTATTGGTTAAAAAAACTATGCTATTTGGCTATTTAAGTTACTTACTTCTCGCCCTATCAGACAAAACCTCACTTAACTTCAAATGCTCTTACTATCAGTACGTTACCAACAAACTCTGGTTTCTGGGTCTAATTGCTCTATTGGGAACCGATTCGTTGAAAAGATCCGACTCAAAAGAACGAACGTGTCACGAATCAGTGCTCGCTTTTTGACAGCGATGGTGTGACAGGTCAGCGCGCGGCTCATACTTTACCTAGTCGAGGACCCTGGGGAACTGAAACAAGTTGCCCGAAATCAGCAGTCTCGTCTCCAACACCCGTCCCCGAGCCGCCGTCCTCTCCGGGCGGGCGGTCAGGCTCTAGTCCCTGCAGGAGTTTGAGCAGAGTCTCCTGCGGGACTTTACACCCTCATCCTTTCATATCGGAAAAGGCCGTGAGTCGGAAGCCGCGATCTAGGCCGTGCTCCTCCGGTTGCAGCGCCTGGTATCCCGCCGGGTAAAAGGCTCCATACCCTCCCGCTCCGCCGGAGTCCATTGGCTGTGGCTCGGAAACTGACATGGCTATGCTGAATTGTATTTATTACTCATTCAGGTGGTGAAACACGGCGAAGTGAGAGAAAACGTGAGTCGCCTCAAAGAAACAGAGAGCGTGTTTTATTCTACACGCTTGGTCATAGAAACGAGTATGGACGCGGCGTGCTTGCGGACTGAACCAACTCATCCTGCAGAGGGGAGCTTGTTGTCACTTTATGGCACAAGTAAGATAATTCGTCGCTGACAGACAAATTATTAGTAGAACATACTTAACATGAGAAAGAAAGAGTAGAAAAATCAATCTTGCACCAAACTGAACTATCGCTAGCATATTTTTCATTTAACTGGTCGCACTTCACCCACCTCAGAAATAAACGTCACATAGGCATAGTCTGCTATCTTGAGCTCCGCCTATTCTGGTTCTGCCCATGAAGGAAGGTGCATCAGACGTTGGAATTGATGCAAATGTACTATGGACAATCCCATATCCTCGAAACTAATCATGGCCTTGTTTCGTTTGCTTCCTCAAAAATATATATATAAAATACTGCAAATAGGTAGTGAATATATGAATGTGACGTGCGAACAGTGGCGCCTTGCGAAAGTATTCACCCAGCTAACAATTTTTGGTTCTCAGAACGTTAGTTTTTGACGAGAAACATGCGAGCATGACAGTAAACTAAGGTCATTGCTAAACTATAGTGAGAACGAAAGTGAGATCTTCTCACCCTTACACTGCCAGATGATCCTACCCCTTCTTTTTCACATTTTGTTGTTGCTGCCTTATTTTAAACTACTTTAAATTACTATTATTTCACATCAATCCAAACTCCATACACCATAATGACAAAGCAAAAAACAGATTTGTGACAATGTTTTATTACAAAAGGAAAAACTGAAATTAGTAAATTGCATAAGTATTTGTACCCTTAACTCCGTACTTAGATGAAGCACCTTACAGACTCAAGTCTTTTTGGGTATGATGTGACAAACTACATATCTGCATTTGGCCATTTTCAGCCTTTCTTCTTAGATCCTCTCAAGCTCTGTCAGGTTGGATGGGGACCGTCAATGGACAGCCATTTTCAGGGTTTCTCCAGAGATGTTCGATTGCGTTCAAGCTCTGGCTGCGGGCACTCATGGACATTCACAGAGTTGTCCATAAGCCACTCTTGCATTGTCTTAGCTGTGTGCTTAGGGTCATTGTCCTGTTGGAAGGTGAACCTTCTTCCCTGTTTGAGGTTCTGAGTGCTCCGGACTAGTTTTGATTAAAGCTGTCTCTATATTTTGCTGCGTTGAGCTTATCTTCCTCCCTGACGAGTTCCCCAGCCCCTGCAAAACCATGGACAGTATGTGCAAAACACCCCCACAGCATGATGCAGCTACCACCACACTTGTTTGGATATTGTGCATGTGATGAACAGTGCCTCGTTTCCTCCAGACATGATTCTTGAAACTGAGGTTCATCAGACCAGAGAATATTATTTCTCACAGTCTGAGATGGTCCTTTAAGCCGGCGAAACACTTAACGTCTAGCTGAAACATTAAGACTGAACTGAACACACGTCCAGACTTTTCAACGACTGAAGCAGATTTTTAACGCTCTGTGAACACTGACTGAACGCTACTGTCACTGATTTGGCGCGTTTGGGCATGATCAGTCTTAAGTATCACATTACATTCAGAATCGGCCTTACAGTTGTTAAGTGTGTCCCCGGCATTAGATGCTTTTTTTGTAAATTCCAAGTGGGTTTTCATGTGTCTTCACTGAGGAGAGGCTTGAGTCAGTAGGGCACTCTGCCATAAAGGCCAGGAGCCTCATTTATAACCGTTGCGTACGCACAAAACGGACCCTGAAAGAGGCGTACGCCACTTCCCACGCATAACGGGGAAATTTGCACACCTACACGCAAACTCTTACCCATGCGTACGAACATTTTCGAGACGGAGCAGTTTGGGGGGGACACCCGATGGTGAGCTGGAGTTAAATGTCTTTTTGGTCATTTTTAGCCAGAAAATGTAAAGAAAATTATACATATACAGAAAGATAATACAAATAAAATTTCACTCACCAAGCCTATCACTAGTTTGAAGCAAATATCCATCCCTTCTTAAATGTATGCGCAAGCGAGCACGTTGGGTCCTTTAGTGGAACTGACGCATAGCCTATCTATTAGGGGTGTAACAATACATCGATATGGATCGATGTATCGATCAAACGTCTAACGATACGATGCATCGATACCACACATAAAATATCGATGTACGGTACCTTTATTTTGACACACTCCACATCCTCACGTAGCTTTTCTCCGCTGAAATAGACGCCTGACAAGATTGACTGAACCCTTTGTCACAGAAGCCGGTATTTTCCACTATCATCGCGAGTTCATGTTTTACAGCAGAAACAACAAGCCCCGAAAAGTCTGTTTTAGCAAATCACTGCGCAGTATTCAGGTCAGGTGACAAGGCTGCTTGTCACTTTGAAAATACGCGCTAGCTGAGAGGAGTTTCGTCAAGCTGACTAAAAGTGATCGAGGATGGATTTCAGCGAACTTGATGAACCCGTGATATTCGGGGCGTAAAAGTAAAATAAAAGCTGAAACTTTGTCACGGAATATTGCTAAAACAGTACGTTTAGTGGTGAGTGAAAAGCTCTCTGTATTGCGTGTACGTTAATCACAACAACAAAGTTTGACAGGCGTCAATATCAGCTGAGGAGATTAGCGTTACAAAGATTAACCAAGTGTTTTATTATGTATCATAGCAAATACTTGGCTTTGTTTAACTCTGAAACATGAAATGTGGAGTTATCTGCTTTTGCCACACAATATATATATATATATATATATATATATATATATATATATATATATATATACATCCTTTCAATGAACTTTAATATAACAGAAGAGTTCATTTGCAAAAACAGATAACTGCGTTCTTGTTCATTTTCATAAGGCTATCATGTTTTTTTTTAACTTGTAAATGTCCCAATAGGCTTTATGCCCAGCTGCACTACTTCCTGAACTTCAGCCAGCTCCTTGTTTCCTGTCTGACATTATTGGACAAACTGATTAACCCAGGTGTGCCTGGTATTTGTTACTGGTCAGGCACACCTGGATTAATCAGTTTGTCCAATAATGTCAGACAGGAAACAAGGAGCTGGCTGAAGTTCAGGAAGTAGTGCAGCTGGGCATAAAGCCTATTGGGAGAGGGTGTGCAATTTTCAAAGAGTTTAATTAAACATTCATGTTATATATATTTGGATGTATTGTGAGTTAATAAACGTAACCGGTTGTGTACACTTAGCACATAATATCTAAATATCGATTAATCGATCGATATAGCCCTTAATCGAATCGTAGAATTTTTTGAGGTATCGGCAAATATCATATCGCTGGCTGAGAGAATCGATATCGTATCGTATCGTGATTAACTGTCCGATTTACACCCCTACTATCTATAACGGCAGATGAAGGAAAACCATACATCTTCATTATGAATCCTAATCATAGCCTATACAGTGCATGTTCACAATAAAAGTTTAAATAAATAAAATAATGATTTCAACTAAGTTTTACTCGATATAAAGTTAGATTAAATATGCCATTCTCATTAATTGAGTTAAACACTTAAATTAGCCTACATGAAATCATTACTGAGAAATTACAGCATTTTTTATATTCAATAAATATAAATATTTGTAGTGGATGCGATTCTTTTTAACACTTTTCCTGTGGCATGCTGTGTTTTAATGTTTTAACTAGCGATAATTGCTTAAGAGCCACAAAGCGGTATTTATTGTTTACATTCTTCTTGCACTGAAAACACTAAATTTTATCAGTAAGTGGAAATTAGTTATTTTTGCATTTTTCAGAGAAATTTGATTCTTCAGGGTTGAAAAGCAAAGTCAAAGCAATGTCAAGGAATCTGAGGTAGAAGCGTGCGTCCTGAGTGTGTGATTGTCTGCTGGGGCAGGAGAGCATGATTCTACGTCATGCGGTTGGGAGCGCTTCTCTGCCTTTATTGATGTCTCAATATTAATGGGGTAAATGTGGTTAACTAAACAAGCTCTTCATCAAAAATTAAATGACTCAAGAAAACTTACAGAAAAGATGTTTATTCCCATATTCAATGAATTTCATTGATATTTGGGACGTTTCAACATACAGAACTGGACTATGATGATGAGTCACAGATAAATCACCTCGGTTTTTGACCTTTTGAGGTTTAATAATGATAGCATAGATGAAAAAATTAAGTCTTAAATTCTTGAGTGTCTGTTAAAAAAAGAAAAGAAAAAAAACACCACTTCAGCAGCCGATACTTTCACTTAAGCTCTACAACAAACCAATCTCTTGTTTCAGCCAAGGTATCCATGTCACTAAACTCTGCACATTAAAATGGCAGGAGGAATGCCAGAAGACCAGTTTGAAAAGTATGGTGGAAAATGGACTTTTCTTCTCATCTCAAGCTTGGATAGCACTTTTGGTGCTGTAGGCCAGGTAGTAGACCAAAATGCCAATAAGGGCAGCCAAGATCTCTGTGGACACCCAGGGACCACTCCATGCACCCTGCAATTCATATATAGATATATTATGTAAATAAACAAAGAGAGAGACAAATCATGGAAAGTAAACAAGTAGTAGCAAAATTAACCTGTGTGGGGGTATATTTTAGTTAATGCAAGTTTATAGATTGTTCTTAGTTTCATTACAGAAACGGTAGCTGTTGTCAATGAAGATTAGTATGCATACTCACCCTGTGATCCACATTGACAGAGAACAAAGGCTTGATAGAATCAACATCTTCATTGTTTCTCTGAGCCTGAAAGAATTAAAAAATTTCATCAGCGCCATTGAACAGTCTCATCAAGTATGTTAAAGGAATCGTTAATTAACATTGTCATTTACTCCCCCTCATGTTCCAAACTGTGCAATTTACTTTCTTTTGCAGAACAGAAGATATTTTGAAGAATGTTGGTGGTGCCCTATGACTTCCATTGTGTGGACAAAAAAGACATCCTTCAAAATCTTTTAATGTTCCGCAGAAGAAAAAGTCATTCAGATTTGAAATGACATGAAGATAAGTAAATGACAGAAGTTTCATTTTTAAGTGATCTATACCTTAAATCAATCATTCCTTAATTTCACCAACCTTTCTTAGAGTGCTGTAAGACTCCTCGTCAAAGAATTTGACCTGATATGTGCCAGAGCTGGCCTGCTTGTGAGGAACACTCCATGAGACCTGGACAAAGATAAGTGGAACAGTTGGTTACATATGTAGAGGGATCTTACATTTAACTTTAAGGTCTTTTAATGAATCTGTTACAACACTGTCATTCATCTTTGAAACACAAATGGAAATATTTTTGATTAAATATGAGAGATTTCTGTCCATCCACTGAAAGTCTATTTACCTAAAACCCTGACACTTTGAAAAAGTTCATAAGAAATCCATATGAATCGAATGGTTTAATCCAAGTATTTCGAAGAGACACGATTGCTTTATATGATGAACAGATTTAATTGTGCATTTATTCACATATGATCAACAAACGTACATTGAGCTCTCAAATATGGTAAACGGAAGCCCGCGAGAACCAATGAGGTTCATTCTTGTGAATCAGGAAAGTATGGTTGAGCTTCCGTTTAGTATAGAGCGCTTCCAAGCGCTTTAACTACGTTTGCTGATAAACATTTAGGTGTGAATAAAAGCCTAAATTAAATCATCATATAAAGCAATCATGCCTTTACAGAGGCCATGGATTGAATATTTGAATAGATTTTTAGTGGAGGGACAGAATCAGAAATCTCTCAGAGATCATCAAAAAGATCTTCATTCAACGGAAGAGTTATGGGTTTTTGAATGACATGAGGCTGAGTAATGATGACAGAATTTTAGGGATGAACTATGCCTATAAAACCCATGTAACTGTACCTGGTATTTGCCAACATCTTGGCCTCTGGTCACAGGAAACTGTTTGCCATTGACGTCTGCATAGAGGGCAACACTCTAAAACCAAAACACAAGCTGGGTCAGTCCACTTTTCTGTACCAATGACCCGTGCATTTAAGTAACTGTAAAGCACCGTCAGCCCACTCACCTGAGCTCCGTTTGCACACGCCAGACTCAGTTCAACGATGAACACAGTCTCAGAAGAGATGAGCGCGTCTGTGGTCGTGTATGAAGACGGAGAAATGACTGGGTCTGTGCAAGTCTCAGCTGAGGAGAGAAAACCCCGGTCACACGTACAGTCTTTATGAATAACAAGCTACATGCCAAGTTTAGTCGCTGAATGGATTCGAGTAAACGCTAGTTATAAAGATGTATAATGGATTAATGTGATAAAAACGGAATCAATTCGATGTAGCTCGCAACATCTTCTTGTTGTTAGCCTGTTTGATCGATAACGTTAAGCGAATACACGAAAGACTGAAAGCTGAGAATGAATGGTGATGTATATCTAACATTAATTGAAAGAAATGGCAAAGTACCTGCACATAAGCTCAGACATAAAGCCAAAATTGCTGGTATAACTCGAATCATGTTGATCTCCGGGCAGTTGAATCCACCTCTACTCGCTCAAACCTAGGAAAGAGAGCAACACCAGCAGCGTCCACCCAATGAGACACAGACAGACACGTCACCTCAACGGAAGAATGACGTGTATGATATCGAGCGCGCCCTCTGGTGAAAGCCGCCGGTACTGCAGGTCTTTTGTCTAGAACAGTGGCTCACAACCTTACAGTCTATGCTCAAAACCCACAACCAGGGGGCATCAGCAAGACACATCTCATTGGTATTTTATCTACAGTGGCCCAAAAGTATTTGAACACGTAAGAAAATGAATCGTAACCAACAGGACAAAGTGATATTTTGATATTTGATATTTATTGTAATTTTAATGTATTAAAATTAGTGCTGTCAAATTGATCTAACATAAAAGTTTGTTTACATAATATGTGTATATACAGTATATTATTATATTTATATGTATATTATATATATATATATATATATATATCTTTGTGTATATATATATACACTGTATACACACATATTATATATATATATTTTTGTGTGTATGCACACACACAGACATATATACTTAAGACTAATATATAGTATTTTAATCATATTTATACACATTATATAAACACAAACTTTTATGTTAGATGCGATTAATCAATTTGACAGCACTAATTCAAATTTATTGTTTACTGTAATCTAATTCATATGCAATATTTACACTAAGTTAAATAAATATGAAATATATTTAACCTCAAATTTTGTGAAATGTTTTGGTTGTTAAAAATGTTTAATTAAAATAAAACAAATAAATTTCACGTTTGATATTTTAACAATTGCAATGGTAGGATTTTATTAGCAAATATTAAAACATATGCAGTTAAATTGGATTAAACTTCCACAATTAATGTACTATTATTTCAGTAGGAATTTTTAATTGACAGTGCAAATATTAATATTAAAAATCCATAGTAATATAACATTTATTTTTGTATCATAAGGCTCCCTCTGTTTTGAGTCTGTCTTGGCTAGTGCCTTTTTCAGCTCCTACTGCAACTCTTCTTTCTTTTGATGGAGTTTCTCAGCATTCATTTAAAGTGAATAACTGACATTATATCAATTACTGTAGAGTAGATCCTCATTATATTCATACCTTTATTTCAGTAAATCTCTCCATAACAATAGTCTGTACAAAGTTGTTTTTCCCATACTCACTTTGGCTGATAATACACAATATTAACACAGGCGGGCATGAATCCTCAAGAGTGCATACATCTAGAGAAACAAATACCACAGGTATAAAGGAAACATTGTCACTGTCAATGATGTGTGCAGACGTAAAGCAGACAAACATTCACACGTGCAGTACATTACACTATGCTGTCACAGAAAGGCAGTACAGATGAGCTTTTTTTTAAAGAGATACACACACCAAGTGTACAGGAACATAGTGGCAGCTCTATAGCCACGTGATAAAAACATCTGCTAAACATCTGTCTACTTCAAGTCAATCTGCAGCAGGATTAAATGTTCAGAGTCCTCAGACAGTTCTCGTCTTGTCTTTAGCAGGTTCTTGATTTTCTCTTCTCATTTTTTGTTGTTGTGGTTAGAGTTCACTCAGGTGTCATGAAAACACCTGAACATCTCTTCCTACTGGATACAGTCCATGACGTGGATCTGCAGGGTATCCATGTCTGGAGCCTTGTACATACATTTTGGGCAGCGGAAATCAGGCAGCTCGTCCTGGTCATCATCTCTTCTGCGTGCAGATGGCGGCTGGGCTGGGTTGAACATGGCTGCTCCTGGGAAAGGTGCTTCAAAAGCAGACATTTCAAGTTGAGACCCCAAACATGTTCAGGTAAAGTAATACAACAGTATTTAAAGAGATGCTTGTTACATTTACAATGTAGCCAGTACAATGTACATTCAAAATGAAGGAAAGAGTTTAGCACATGAAGAATCTGAATAAGGGGTTTTACCAGTTGGAGGGGGCGGGTGAGGTCGAGGCCTGAAGTTCTCCAAGTGTCTCTGTTGCATCTCCTCAATGCGAGCTCTGTGAAGAGACAACATCCACATGTAACTCTTAGACATTTTCTGTTGAATTTCGTTCTCTTTCACATCTTGAATGTTTAAATTGACTTGGCTTAAAAACAAGTGCAAATGATCAACTTTGTGACCATGCAGCACTGGTCCGAACGGGACAGTGACAGTTCATTCAACTGTCCGGAACGTGTTTCACACTGTAAGGCACACCTGCATCCACCATGTTAAGCACTAGGGCTGCCGCCTCATAGTCGACGAGAAGAATTAGTCGGTTAGTCCCAGAAGAAAAAAACATAGGAATTGGCCAAGTCACGCAGTGACAGATCGCTAACATGGCTGGTCCATGCGGTAATATGTCGGGCAGAAAATCCAAAGTGTGGAAACATTTCGAGAGGTTAAAGAATGACCACAAAAAGGTGATGTGCGACCTCAAACATGACTTATTCAAAACATGCAAGTAGTAGCCTCTCATTAGCCCCTTTACATGACCACTTGCTCTATCGTTAACCTAGATAAATGTACGATATTAGGCGCATATCCAAGGGTTTGTGCAGTGTGGAAGCTATATTAATACCGCACTTGTTTAACTTAACTTCCACGTCCATGCCTCCCCTGTTGTAACATCGTGCAAGGTAAAAAAGAGGATGATATCTAGTGGAGAGGACTAGTAATAAGATATTATGATATTATTACATGCTGCGTAACACGAGAATAAACCTCATTGGTTCTTGCAGAAGCTCAAACGTGCTGCCGTGTAACATGAAAATGAACCTTATTGGTTCTAGAGATGTTCCAATACCCTTTTTCCCTTCCCGATACCTGGACTCAGGGTATCGACCGTTACCGAGTACTGATCCGATACCTGGGTGTGTATCTATACAGCTGCAATTCATACTAGCCCTGTATGAATTGATAGAATTATTTTATGGTGTGCTTCAGACTTATCCCTTAATTAAACATGAACAAATACATACAGTGAACTAGAGTATTTTTATTATCTGACATACATTTCGCAGCAATATTTTATTTATTTTTCTTAAGTGAAAAAGAACTTAAAATGCAGCCACACATCTAATATACTTTAAATTGAAAAAGGTATTTTAAATTTACAATATAACTTTATAAAAAAAAGTGCAACAAATAAATCTAGGAATCTAAAAAAACGATATATGAATAATATAAGAAAATAACCTCTTTATAACTTAAAGTCCAGAAACAATTTTGTTAAATACACGGCATTTCAGTTTTGACAGCGGCTGGTCATCCAGAACAATAAACTCGATAATTTCGTCGGTTATATTTATCGCTCGTTGGCTGTCTTTTGAAAACTTTTCTCTTCGTTTGAATGAAGCTTCCAGAGATGGTTGATTCTGGCGCGCCTCATCCTTCTCTGCCCTTGCCATCGTGTTCTGCGGGGTGACGCGTCTTAAAGCGCTTTATTAAATGTTGAAGCTGCTAATCTTGTGCCACCCCTCGAAACTGCAGTATGGCATATGAGACATGTCGGCGTTTTACTGGTTGGTTGGTCCAGTCTTAACTACTGCCAAACAGCGGATACACTGCTAGCGCGCGCTTTCTTCTTCGCTGCTCTAACCAGTGGTTGCTTGTGGCAACAGCACTTCCTGTGTTGCCACAAGCAACCACTGTTTAGAGCAGCGAAGAACAATTGATCTCCGATTTGCAGCATTAAAGGGATACCTCACCTCCGGAAAGATGAATGTGTATTTAAAATGGGTCATTTATGTAGAAGAAATGTGAAATTATTTTTGAATTTGGAGCTTTCTAGACTGAGAAAAGCCAGAAAATTTATTTTTGGCTTATGTGGATGAAAGACATCAACTCCCAGAATGCACTTGCTTCGTTGCCCTAGGAGGCCACGCCTACCGGTAACAGAGCGCAGTAGTTAAACAACAAGTCTAGGCTACTAGTGAGTCTCAGTGATGAGTCTGCCCAGGATTTCGAGATCACCCAAAATGTCCGGGATTCGGCTTTTGCGTTCTACAGTCGCCATTCATTATGTTTACTGTGGCGAGCAGGACGAGGCCGAGGGCGTGATTACCGATGAGAGACACCTGTGAGACGCACCGGTCTCGTATCTCTAGCGGAGGAGCGGGAATTTTCTTAGCAATGTTAAAACGCACATCAACCGATCACTTGTTTAGCGTTCATGTAAACACTACATTCAGATTCACCAATCAGAATGAATTCAGTTGGATTGAAACAAAAGGTGTGCATGTAAACAATGAATGGTGACTGCAGAAAGCAAAAGCTGAATCCCGGACATTTTGTACGATCTCGACGGGCGGACATGAGGAAAAAGAGGATGAATGGTAACCCCTACTACTCGGAACAGCTCCTTCTACTGGCTGTAGTCTTTAGCTTCTGGCCAAAAAATCCTCCGATGACGCAAAATGACGATTTTTGCGTCATCGGAGGATTTTTTCCAGACAAAAAATACATAAATCTCTCGTCTCAGGGGAATATGAGGGTGTAAAGCATGGTAATTTGAAAATACTACAGGTTTTCTACTAATACAAAGCTTAATTCTAAATCCTGAAGTATCCCTTTAAGCAAAGCTAGCGTGCATAACTAGTTGTTTAAAAAAAAGGGTATCGGATCGGTACATGGGTAGAAGTACTCGCCGATACCGATGCCAGAATTTTTATTGGTATCGGCGGCATTTCCGATACTAGTATCGAAACAACTCTAATTGGTTCTTGCAGAAGCTCAAACGATGCATAACACGAGAATGAACCTCATTGGTTCTTGCAGAAGCTCAAACGATGCATAACACGAGAATGAACCTCATTGGTTCTTGCAGAAGCTCAAACGTGCTGCTTAACACCTCACTGGTTCTTGCAGAAGCTCAAACATGATGCGTAACACGAGAATGAACCTCATTGGTTCTTGCAGAAGCTCAAACGTGCTGCTTAACACCTCACTGGTTCTTGCAGAAGCTCAAACATGATGCATAACACGAGAATGAACCTCATTGGTTCTTGCAGAAGCTCAAACGATGCATAACACGAGAATGAACCTCATTGGTTCTTGCAGAAGCTCAAACGTGCTGCTTAACACCTCACTGGTTCTTGCA